AATGACTAAGTTCCTTGTACAAGACTAAAGAATTAACATGCGCCTACTATCCAAATATTTAAAGCTCTTTTATATATAAGAAATGAAAAGCAAAAATGTCCTCCCAACAAGTAAAGATGAAAAAAGTACACAAATAGAAACTACTCACTTGACCCAGGCTTCTCAACTTCTCTAACAATGTGGGTCATCCCAGCTTTGTATCCCAAGAAGGCAGTTAGCCTGCAAGGTTTGGCAGAATCATCCTTGGGGAATGCCTTCACTGCAAAAACCAAAACATATACACCATAAGCACAGCAGACTATGCAACAGTAACCATTTTATTTTAACTAGAAAGCAAATAAGTTCAGATTGAGGGTTAAACAACAAATTATTACCAATAAAGTAAAATAATGAAAGTGAAAAGAACTGCCTCAAAGCATATACGTTCATAACTACAATACAACAAAGCATTGGACCTAAAACATGCCAGAACAAAGAACACATGTAACAGATTCATAACATAAACCATAGCAAAATAACTGTACATGTTTACAGATGGTTTCATAATTTGGTTCATAATTTAGAACAGGAGGTGTTGGCACTAAGATATGGCATCTCTATGCAATAACATCTATAAGCACGAAGTTGAATAGTCAATCATGCTATTACTGGAGGGCCAAAAACAACAATCACCAACCAATTGTACCATCTTCCAAAGTTTGTCGGATATGAAGCAGGAAACTTGAAGGCATATGAATGGATACTTCCAGGAAACAGTCTGAAAGAAATCCTCGTTTTATTTGATTGGATGCAAAGTAACAAAGAAAACAAAACCACAACAGGAATGGCATCCAACAATAATAGATACAAGTTACAAATACAGAGTTGAAACAGCCAAATAAATACAAAGCAAGAATGTTCAAACAGTTGACAACCTATAGCTAAAAGTAGACAATCAGAACACAAGAAACAAATACAAGCAATTGGCATTAACTGGAAGAACTGGCACATAAATAAGAAATGGCATACAAATGATACATGCATCAAGGACAACTCATTCCATAGATTTAAAGAAAAAGACAGGCAAAATAAAACTAAAACCTTTTCCTCTGTGACGAGCAGCCCTTTTCCGAGGGAGAAAGCCCAATGAGCCATGTCTGGGATGCTCAAATTTGCGATGAGACATGCTACCTAGCTTGTTATATATCTGCAAAACTCATAAGTTCATTCCCAAGTATTCACAGAAGAAAACATAGCAATTTAAAAAACTAAAATTTACATGGCTATAGGTATATGTGCATATATAATTAGATATAGGCACATCTTGAAAAATATTAATTTCACCATCTACGACATCTCTTTAGCACATAATCCGTGCTAACAAAATTAAATCACAACAAAATTGAGAAAAACTAAAAGTTGGCTTTTATTTGGACATCAATTATCGCATGCATAAATATTACTAAAAATGAAGGAAGTAAAAGAGATTATCATAAAAACACTGGCAAGAGTCAAATTTTAAATACTGAAGAGTCGCACAAACTTGAAGTTTGGTTTTTATGCTTTATATTTTAATAAACTTGTAATGAATTAAAGCAAAAGAATATTTATTTGATAATTTAGATTATCAGAGAAAATAGAGACACAATTGACTGGCTGCATATGGAATTAACCCCATTATGTGATGATGAAAAGAAAAGCTCCAATACCAAAGGCCTATGACAAAGATTTATGCCAATTCTCAAGCTCATTAGTGTTTCTTACCAATTACCCAAATTGGGATTTGGCAAACGAGCGCTGTTGAGATTCCAACCTTGATTACTTGTATGTTGGAGTACATTTCATTCACCATACACATTGGGGAAAAACCAAAATGCAAAAGATGTTCAACTGAGTTTGACATCTCCAAAATTAAAATTAAAATTTGAAGAAAACATATAAAACGATGATATTTGCAAACAAAAATTATGACAAATCCAAATTTGAAAAAACATACAAACAAAGAAAAAACTTATCATAAAATGAACATTAGAATCTTATTGAACTCATCTTAAAATCCCTAAATTACGAATGCTAGAGAACATGGGGGGGAAGACAACATCGCATCGTCAAATCTCATTTTTCTGATAAACTCGAAAAACAAAATCAAATCAAAAGTCACAATTTTAAACCAAAAAAAGTAAAAAAAATGTTTTTGTTTCGTGAAAAAATTATAGCTACATGAATTAACTAAGCGTTCTTAGTATAGATAGAATCTTGCGGTTAAATCTAGAGCATCGGCCATCAATCCTGAAGCTAAAACTACTAATTTGAATATGCGAAACTTATAACAGACAGGATCGTCAATCAAAATGAAAGCAATCGTCTCCACGAACACAAACATTGCACAAAATTAAATTTCTAGTCAGTATACATATAAAATTATAAATACAAAAATCAACAGAAAGCTGATAATTCAGAAAAGAAATCCATACCTCGAAACCTGGAGTGAGCGGTAGAAGGGATCTGAGAGGATAGCTAGTTTTTATCGGCTTCTAGTTCTTACTTCTTACTTCTTAGGGTTTAGAAATGGGCCGAGATTAACGGGCCAATGGTTTAGGTTTAGAAATGGGCCGAGATTAACGGGCCACTGAAACCATTGCTCGGATGAATTCAATCCAACAAATGGCATAACTGATTTAGTAATATTTTAAATATTAAATTAAAAAAATTATTTTTCCGCTTAAATGAATAAAACCCACATAAGATTTGTAAAGCCCTTTCAAAGAAATTGCAAACAGCCGTCTTACTAAACTGTTGTATGACACTTGCAAATTTTGCAATTATTGTTGCAATGATATTTAGATCCCAACAAAAAAATTTAATACATAAATTTAATTATTCTTATTCAAAATATTATATGTATATGTATATGTATATACTAGAAGTGTACTCGCGCAATGCAACAATATATATCTCGATTGTAATGTTTCATTTTATTATGTCCCCTGTCGATGATATAATACGATTTTATGTAATTTTGAGAAAAACAATAATGTTCTTATTTTGAATAAAAATATAAATACGAAGATATCTTAATTTTTTTTTTAAATATACTGATATTAATATCAAATTAACTATTTCAAATTTCTTGTTTTGTTGTGTAGTTTCTTTAATTCAATTTCTTTATTATTATAATTTAATTTAATTTAAGTTTAATGAAGTAATTTATTTTTGATTTAATAATATTTTTTTATAAAGATAATAATTAAGTACTCTGTTAGAATACAGTGATTATCCTGATTATATTTTAGATTTTTTTTAAATAAAATGTTTATCTAGTATTTGATCATGTTTATCTGTAGTTAGTTACACGAATTCAAGTATGAAGCTTTAATAAGTTGTACTTATGCATTATTTACTTTTAATATTGAATTTTAAGTAATATGTATCAAAAAACAATACTTCATGTATAAAACAAAGGTTTTTAAGAGTTTTTGTCAAATGTTTTATAATATAACTAGAAGCGTACTCGCACAATGCAACGAGATACATCGTGATTTTAATATTTTATTTTATTTTTTATCTCAGTCGATGTTATAATATGGTTTTATGTGATTTTGATAAAGCAATGATGTTTTTATTTTTAAATAAAATATATGTTTGAAGATATATCATAAAAATTTGACAAAAATATATCGATATTAGTATCAAATTAAGTATTTGAAATTCCTCATTTTTTTGTGTAATTTTTTAATACATTTTTTTTATAATTTAATTTATGTACAATAACGAAGTAATTTATATTTGGTTTAATAATATAATTTTTTTATAAAGATAATAATTATTTATTTTGTGGAAAATCGATAATTATTCTTATTATATTTTAGATTTTTTATATTTTAAAATGAATTGTCCATCCTCTATTTGATTATGTTTATCCGCAGTTATTTATATGAATTCAAACATGGACCTTTAATAAGTTGTACTTATGCATAATTACTTGTAACCTTGAATTTTAAGTAATATGCATCAATATACAGTACTTTATGCATAACAAAAATATATCGATATTCGTATCAAATTAA